AAATCGGGAGAGAGCAGTGTCCCAAAAGCCACCTGAGGGCTGGGACTCAATTTGAAAGATACCACAAGGCAGCATGAGGAAGGCAAGAACTGAGACTGGACCATCAGCGTCAATATTGCTAATGACCTTGACAAGACAGGTCAATGAGTGGAGGACTTACTCCTGATTATAGAGAGAGGGAGGAGGGGAGGCGGAGCAAGTGGAGACATCGATGCTGTGGGATTTGCTGTAAACAGGATCAAAAGCAGGGTGGTGGCCAGAGGGGAAGATGGGTGCAGGGAGGATGTTTAAAGAGGGAGGTGTCTTTGCAGGCGGATGGGCAGCATTCGGGAGAGAAGGGAAGTTTGGGGTGAAGGCGGGGGAATTGCAGGATGGAAGCTTGAGCAGGCCGAGGGCGGGGGAATCCAGGGCCAGGCGGAGCGTTGGCGTTGAGTGGGGAAGGCAGAATTTCAGGTGGAGAGGGAGGTGGACTCATAGAGCCCATGACGAGAGAAGAAGAACTGTCTCTTCTGAGTGCTGCTGTTTTGCTCAGTGATAACAAGCAGGATGGTCAGCTGAGAACATGCGGTCGGAGGAGAGTGGGAGCGGGAGTTTGCACTGACTTGGGAAGGGGTAGTATGGCCGCTGTGCCCCATGGGAGAGGGGCAGTGGTCCATGGGCCCCTGACGCCCCAGTGTCCCAGGAAGGGGGCTCGGCAGGAAGGACACAGCGGCTGCCTTCCCACCCCGGAGCCTGAGCAGCACAGTTTCATGAGGACGATGCCCCTGAGCCTGGGAAAGACACCGTGCCCTGGGCCCTTGTCTGATGGGCACCAGGCTCTGGCCTGTCTTCAGCCCGTGACTCTGGGAAATGCTCTGCGTGACCTCAAGCCCTTAGCCAGTCCTCCTGTCCCGTCTCAGGAGAGAATCCCGGCCTCCATCCCCCACAGGATCCCACGGGGAACCCCTCCTTCCGCTCGGAGTCACAGAGCAGGTGTGCCCGGCCTGCCTTCACCCTGTGCCAGAACCGGGGGGACAGAGCAGAACAAGGCCTCAGAGGCCGCTGTCGTCCCTAGGACCGCATGGACCCCCTGGACATCAGCTCTGTGCTCTGGGCTGGGTTGGCCTGGCAGCTTTGACTGACACTGGTTCTGTCTCATGAAAACAATTAATTGCTGCCGTGGGAATGCAGTGAAATGCATTTTGCTCTAGCCAACTGGGTCAATAACGCCGGGCTCTTAGGATAATCCAAGGAGTCTTAAGTGGCAGCAAAGTTGTATTCGATGAAACTCCCCATCCCATCTCTGTCTTATGGAGATGGGGAAACCGAGGCCCAGAGAGAGCCTGCACTGGCCCAAAACGGTAGAATGTATCGGCAGCAATGTCTCCTAGCTCATAACCATGAGAGGCACCCCAAGTCGGGTGTTCCCGGCCAGGCTTCGACCTGATCCCCCCCCCCACTGCCACCTCCACCTGATTTTGAGGTGGTGGGAGGGTTGGAGGGGGTGTCAGGAAGCCCGCCAGGCCCAGCCTGCAGCCCGCCAGCCAGAGCTCTTCCTGTGGCCCCCTCCCAGCTGGGCATTACCTGCCAGTTAGCACAGCCTCCCACCTTCTTGGGTTGTTATGGAAACCAAACCTGGAGGGGAAGATGGGGGGAGCAGAGAGGAGAAGGTGGCAATCACCGCCGATGCTAATGTGCTGAGTGTGCCCTCTGCCTAGCAGCCCAGGAGGGGCCATCGGCATCGAATGGGAGGGTGCACAGCAGGCCCGGGCGGGGCAGGGAGAAGGCCCAGGCCTGCCCTTCCTCGTGGTTCCTGGGCCCCCAGAAAGGCTCCCTCTGCACCGGGGCTGGTGTGCGGGATGGCATTCTCACCCACACCCTCTGCGCCTTCTGTGCCGGGGTCCACGACCCCACCCCAGCCCTCTGCCCCTGCCCAGCAGCGTGGTCATGGCAGGGGAAGGAAAATGGCTTGAAGGAGCATTTTGCCAGCCTGGCAGGAGGATTGGGCTCCCACCCAGCATGGCTGAAGCTGGTCCTTTGCCAGATATGGGTCTCTCCTGCCTGGCCCCACTCCCAGGCCCCACAAGAGGCCTCGCTAGGAGGCTAAGGCCCCAGGCTCTGGGCAGAGTAAAGGGCGACAGCCCCGTGTCCCACACGTGGTCACAGCCACGCCATGCCCTCACCCAGCCCTGTGCCCCACCTTCCAGACTTCCACACCCGCCCCCCGGATTGCTCCCACACGTGTCCAACATCACAAACACACCACCAGCGGCCCCTCCGCTGTTCTCAGCCACTTGGCTGGCTTTGCAGGCCTGGGTGCACACACGTCCGGATCCTGGGGTCTCGGCTTCTCTGTGCTCAGAACCAGCTGCTGAGGGGGCAGGCGATGAATGGAGGGCAAGCGCTGTCTGCACTGGGGACCTGAGGGGGTGGGGAAGGCAGGTGCACAGCAGGACAGGGCGGGGCAGGGGGAAGGGGACGGGCAAAGACGGGCAGAATCACTTCACTGGAGCCTCAGGACAGGCAGGTCTATGAAGGACAGGAGGGGAGAAGCAGGGACGGTTGGTTCCCTCTCGGATCTACACAATACTCCCCTCTCTCCCTGGAACTGGAAGAAAAAGCCTTGAAGCCAGTGGCCAAGCAAGGAAAGCTTTCCCCCGCCCCCGCCCCCCCCTCGCCGCCAGCCAGCCACAGGAGACAGGGCCCAGAGCCCCCAGCTGGCCATGGCGTCCATGGACAATGTTGCATGGGCAACGTTTCCCGCTTAACTTGACCGTCAAAGTTAAGGCAGCACTGTGTCTGGACAGAGTCCAAGCCTGAGAGAGGAACGTGGAACAGAGGCCTGAAGGTCTGACCCATCAGAGAGATCGGAATAGCCATCAAAATTCAAGAGGGAGCACGGACCAAATCAGTAGGTATATATGGGCCAGAACAAAGGAGGTGACTTCTGCTCCCCGCCGGAAGGTGGGGCTGCATCCGATCATCGCTGCTCTGGAGGAAGATTTGTTAGCTGAAGTGGGTCCAGGAGGCGGAGTGGAAGTGGAAACGGTCTGTGGTGTGACAAGAAGGAAAGGTCTGCGGACTCCCCATCCCTGCAGGGATGTAGTGAGCAAGGAGGGAGCAGACGTGGTCTGCAGGGCCCCGTGCATGGCCGTGGAGGACGCTGGTGCCAGCCAGTGTCAGCGCTGGGCCACACTGGACCCACCCTGCTGACCCCCGGACACCGAGTCCCCTGACACAGCTGCCAAGTCCTTCTCTGTAGACACCCCCGGCCCGAAGGCCGGTGCAGAAGTTCCAAGTAGAGTGGAGGGGCCTGGTTCCCCGACTGCCTGGCAGAGTGAGTCCCGCGGCACTGCCAGCCCACCCTTGGCACTCTCCCGGCATCGCTGGGCTGACGTCCTGGGTCTGACATCACTCAGACACCAAGTCAGACACACTTGGTTAAACATCAGATGTCCCGAGTCCGCTGTTCTTTGTTAAACATCAGACACCTTCGGTTAAATGTCAGACACCCTGCATGCGAAGCCGTTGGTTAAATATCACAAGTCACTTGCCATTGTCCCGATGGCCCTGGTCACATACCGTCCCTCCGTCTCTCAGACATTCTGGTCACGTGGCCCCTCCACACGTGTCCTCACACTCTGCTTGGGCAGGTCCCTGCCCCCAGAGAGCACTCCTTCCTCCTATACCCGTGGAGGCCATGGAGGTCCGAGCTGTAGGCGGGAGCCCGCGCCCACTCTGCTCTGCTCAGCATCACTGGGCTCAAGCAAACCCCAATGGCTGCTCACCTCCAGAGGTCTCTCCTACTGTGGAGACCCAGGGCATCCCTGGGGGACAATGAGGGTCTGGGGTAAGACTGGGGTGGACTTATAGGAGGGGGGGTTCAAGTCTCCTCAGATCCCTGGTCCTGCTTTTTTCTCTTCTGAGACTGGGGTGGACTCATGCAGGGGGGAGGGGTTGGAGTCTCCTCAGATCCCTGGTCCTGCTTTTTTCTCTTCTTGTGTTGGCCACTGCCTGTGAGCAGTGGAGGAGCTGAATGATCAGGCAACTTCCCTTCTCATCTTCCAAAGCATCATGTTGAGAACTGCTTCTCAGTTGACTCCTGATGGTTGGGGGGAGAAAGTGGGCAGCCCTCAGACACCCAGCCACACTTCCGGGGTGGTCTCAGCCGGGGCTTCAGGGTCCCCTGGTTTGGAACAGCCAGGCAGGCCCAAGCGGGTGATCCAGGCCGCAGAAGATGCAGAGCGAACCCAGGCTCCTGGGAGAGTGTCCCTCTCCACCCCGCTGTGTCTCCATCCTCAGACCCTGCCTGCCACGAGTTGCGTTACGGTCCCCAGTGTCACGGAGAATGTGGCCGAGTCGTTGCCTCCTGGCACCGGGTGTTCACGGGACCATCACCACGAAAGCCGCCTGGGGCTGGCTGTGTGGAATCCCCAAGGCACCCTCGCTGAGGTCCCCGTGGCAGGAGGGTTCAGCTCAGGAAGAAAATTTAGGGGAGGCCCCCGCCCATCCACACTCCTCCCTGTGGGGGAGGGCTGGCCGGGAGGGCAGGCTGAGGTGCTGCTGTAAATCCCAATAACTGTGGTTTGATTCTGCAGGTATGTATCAGAAAATATAAAGCTAGGCAATTTGTCGGCTCTTCGAACTTTCAGAGTCCTGAGAGCTCTAAAAACTATTTCAGTCATCCCAGGTAAGACGCCAGGCGCGCCTCACAGATCTCAGCGACAAGTGACTCTCTCTCTGTCTCCCCCCCACCCCCCCGCCCCCACCGTGTGT